TATGATTAAACACACCACAAATATTTACAAAGGCAAACATGTAAGGCACACAAGTCACACAAGACAAGCCCTTAGAGTTTAGGCCAGCATGGGGTCTGGGTATTACCCTCTTGAAGTTGGTGGGCTCAAACCTGTCCTATCAAAGTAACCAGGTTCTAAGGATCTCAATATCATTGGATTGCTTTCATTGTTCATCGTTTCGATTTAGCCACTGACTGGCGATCAAAATATCCCAAGAAAACAACCCTCAATTGAGTGTAGTATCGAGTATCAAGACTTCGGAGTACACCAAAGTAGTCATCTCACTACCCTAAAGAGGCCAAGATGGTTCAATTAAGGTTCCTAAGGTCTGTTGATGCTTCACGACACCACATGGAGGCCCCGTACTCTCCTTGATTGACTCAAGGGTTACCGGTACACACCAAAGTGCCACATCAACGTAGCAGACTGCTTCAACCATGTCGGTATACCCCGCACAGTTCCCTCACAGCCTTGTTGCTACTTTCTAAGAAGGTATCCCCAGATCCGGGTTAGGATCTATAGAACTCCCAAGCAACCCACAATAATAAAGCAAGCAAAGAAGACAATTGAAAACACAGTGATCTTAATCCTAAGGTACACCTCACTTTAAGTTAATGTCCCCAGCAGAGTCGCCAGTTATGTGATCGGTGGATCTGGAACTGACTGTTTAACGTTGGTTCGCGAAATGTCACGGAAGCAAGAGTCACCACCGTCTTTTATTTTCTCCAAATGGAAAGGACAAAAGCACAGAAAAATTCCTTATAGAGATTGCTCTTGGTTCGGGAGGTAGATTATAGAAAGGGAAGGTGTTAGCACCCTTTCTATCCATGGTTATCCATGGGCTCTTAGATACTTGCTCATTGTGTTTTCAAAATTGTTTGTTTGCTTTTCAACTGTGGGTTTTAAAAAGTTTATTTGAAAATTCTAGTTCGACTCTTGTATCGGTCCTCAAGAGTGTTTGAAAAGTTGCTTTCGAAAGCTTTTTGAAAAGTGTCGGTGTGAAAAGTATTTTTTGATTTTGTTTTGAAATTAGAGCAAGTATCTATGAGTTCTCTACCTACCCTAAGGAATTCGTCTGTGTAAATGTCCTTAAAGTAGTGCCATCCCACCATTGAGAGGTAGGTAGCACCACCGTTGGAGGTGTTCGGGTCAATTCGAGGTTCGGGACATGGTGATCACCAGAGCAATGGGAAGACACCTTAGAAGCTACCCTCATGCCAGGTTCCCGGATCATGAGGACTTACTAAGACATCCTCTACTCGATGATCACCTTTCGAGGTAAGGCAACAGTGAGGCGTACCCTAGGGGTGGTGTGTGAATTGTGTGTCATTTTCAGTTTATTGTTTGTCTTGTCATGCATTGGTGATCTACGCTTTGATTTTATTTTTTGGGCATTCATTCTTTCATGTTATTGTTTAGCAGTTAAAGGTGCAGGAATTTAAAGTGCGGAAAAGATAAAGGTCCTAAGCTATTACAAAGGCGCGGGTCTACAACGCCAAATTAATCCAGACCCGATTTAAAATAAAATGCAGAAAATAAAAGCCTAATTAACTATTACAGGGCTTTGGAACAAGTACATTATATTTACAAATAGAAATAAATAAAACGCGCGAAAGGAGAATATAATCGAATGCGAGGGCGTTGGACCCTTTCAAGGAGTTAAAATAAAATTATTAAAATAATTAAGTTAAATAAAAAGAAAGAACTTATTTTTTATGTTTTTTTGGTATTTATGACATTAAAGAAAATTAAATCAATTAAAAGTCAAATAATTAATTCTAATTCTAGTTGTTTTTAATTTATTAAAGAAAATGCATTAAAGTTAAAACCTAGAATTAAAACTAAATTAATTATAAAATTTATTTACAAAATTAATGGTCGATGATACTTATAATAAAATATTTAATTAATTAAAAAAAGGTAAAAAGTGTTAAAGATCTATTTTTATTGTTTTTTTGGTTATTGTGAAAAAAGAATTAAATTACAACCTAAAATTGAATCTAAATTAATTATGGGATTTATTTACAAAATTAATACTAAAATAAAATATTTATTATTTTTATCTTTTCTGATTTTTTGTGTTTTTTTTTTTATATTTATTATGAAAATATTGATTTGAAAAAAAATTAAATGGAAATTAAGCAAACAAATAAAAATAAATAAAAAAAAGATAAGGAATAGCAAACCAAGGGGGTGCAGCCCAAGTAATTCTGGCCCATTTTTGGAGGCTTTGTTGACTTTTTCAGGCTACGTGTGGTAGCTTTGACTAGGACCCATCATGGTCTTCAGATCTGAGCCTTTGATTTGATCTCCCTGGCTTTGTGAATGGTTTGATGTTGAGAGCGCATGATGTGCCTTGATGCTGATCCTGCATTGAATCACTAAACACAAAATAATATGAAGAGGGTGAAGACCTGGGGCTCGAACCCAGGTCAAGTGCTTTGCCAATCCTTATGCTTGCCAGTGGAGCCAGATGCGCGTTGTTAATATTAAACAAATAACAAATATTATAAAAGAAACAATTGCGTTAGTGATTCAAAACGCGCGAAATTTTGAACCTTCCAATCAGCGCTCCCCACGTTATCATCTTCCTCGCGTGGTTTTTATTTTCCTGAAACAAAAGAAACATAGGCAACGGTTTTTGATGTGTTCCCTTAGGCCAGTTTTGGAAAAATAACGAATAGCCTAGGAACGCTCATAAATTGAGCGCGAGCATGGGTTCTTCTTCGTCCAAGTCTCCTGAATCCGTTCCTGGCATCGTGGTTTGCTAATTTTACACGACCAAGAAACCCCCAATTCAGAAACCTGTAAACCCTAAAAAACGATAATGGTATTTTGGCATATAACGCGTGAAACTTCAATTAACGCACATGATTAGTTTGCAAACATCATTATAAATACAAACATAACAACAAAATATGTTAACCATGCATGAATGAGAGAAACCGATTCAGAATTTTTCTTCACCAACTTCCATGGTGATCTTACATTTTCTTGAGTATGGGGCTTAGTTTTTGATTGGAATATGTCCTATGATCCTTGAGGAAGCTAATGGAATAGGAATCTTGGCTTGAAACCACCTCTAACTTGGTTTTCAGATTTGAGATTTTTTGCAAAAAATGTGAGTTTGTTTTGAGCAATAGGGCGCAGCTTCTTGTCCAATTCTGTTGTGTATCACTTGTATATACCCTAAGCAATGTGTTTGGATGAGAGTTATGGCCAATAATGCCTTGCATTGATGTTTAGGATTTTAACATAAACCTCCATTATCACACCTTCCAATTTTTGCCTTATTTTGAATTCTTGCCTTATTTGAGCCTTAGCACGAAAATGGTCTAGACTTAATGGTAGTTCAAGGCTAGTTAAGGCCAAATATTTCATTTAATCAAACTTTTTGATTTTTTCTTGATTTTAAAAGATTTAAACTTAATTAAATCCAATAAAATCAATTAAAAATGAAAAAATTAATTTAAAAAAATGAAATAAAAGGTGGGACACGTGGGAAGCATGGCCAAGTTAATTCAAGTGGAAAAAGTGGGCCCCTCTTGTCAAAAATGAAATTTCAAGGATAAATGATTTTGGCCATTTCACAAAAATTTCCCAACTTCTTCAATGCATATCTTGCTCAATTTTTAAGCTTTGATCATGTTCTTGGACATTTTAGAAAGGTCTTGAAGTCCTCTAAACAATGTCCTTGGTCCCATGTCATTTTGATTTACCAATATCAAGTTATGGCCTTTGACTTAAAGTCCCTTTTTGTTGACTTTTGAAAATGACCTATAATGTTGAAATTGATAATTTTTGTGAGAGCATTTCTTGGACTTGAAGTATGAATAGGAGTTGTAGGAAATGTCTCCACCTTCAAGATGAGCATTGGATGGGATTTTTCTGATGAACCATGAAAAAGTTATGCCTTGGTCAAGTTACAGTTGACTTTTCAGTTGTCCAAAAATAGAAACTTTTGCATCTTGATGATTTTTGAGCCATGCTTTTGAGAATCATGATCAAGCATTGATCAAATGATGTTTGTGGCTTCAAAATAAGATGTTGACCAAAAATTTGAACTTTTGACTGTCAAATGACCATTTTGCCCCTACAGTTGACTGTAGTGCAATTAGGGTTTTGACTGTGCAATTTCGTGCTGAAAGTCTTGAAACTTGATATGAGGATGCTTGACCATATTTGTAGGCATGTGGGACTTGATTGGGCCCTTGGAAACTTCATTTTCTTGATCAGAACAAAAACCCTAATTTTGACTGCTTAGGAGGCCCTTGACTGTGCAACCCTTGGGGAGGTTTGAAGCTTGACTTGGCAATTCTTGAAGAATATGGGAGGGAAAATTTTGGGGTACAACACCATCCTCCCAAATTAATTATGTTATCCAACACTAATTTCTCTAGAGAATCTCAATCATTCCTATAATTTCCCTATTCAGATTCTAAATTATCTTAAAATTAAATACAATGAATGCTATTCATTGTTGTAACCGCAAGAAATTCAATATCGCAAGCAAGAAATTCAATAATGCTAAATAGACATTCATCTCAATTAGTTTTCTGAATTATACTATCAGTAAGCAAGCTTCTTAATTTGTTTGATTTTATCTTTTTTGTACTTTGTAGTTTTGTTCGATCAGGTTTTCTAAAGCTATTCAAATTTTTAGCCTTTTGTAAAGCTGTTCTAATTTGTGTTGTTGAAAGCTTATTTAAAATTAATTTACTTATGTTCTCAATTTTATAACAGTAGCTTACTAAAAATTATTTTCATTAGTTTTCTTATGTGAAATCGTTTCATGTTGGTTACTTGGTTATAACAGTAACAAATTTTAGTTAGTTTTTCATAATTTCTTCAAGGTCTGTTCTTTGTTAGTTTTTCATATTTTGTTTCATAATTTTTTCATAATATATTTTTATTAGCTTTTTCTACAACTAGTTGTTTATACTTTGTTCTAATTTTAAGTTTGATCTATTTTTACAGGAATGAGCCAAACTGGTCCTATTACTCAATCTGATATTGTTAACAACCTTATTCAGGTATCAAAAATTAATTTTAAGTAGAGATTTTTACCTTTAAAAATGTTGGTTACTGTTACAATGGTGTAATATTATAGTTGATGTTCAAAAATTTATTTTTTCATGTGTATTTTATAGGGTGAAACAACTGAAGCTCCACCTCCATTGGTACAAAGTAATGAAACAAACAATGATGAAGAAAATCCTAATAAGAAAAGAAAGATTGGAGAAGCTTCAAAATTGGTCACATCCAATGATCCTAATGTTGTAGCTGGAGATTCAGGTAACAAAAAACCTATTAAACCTAGATCTTGGACTTGGGAACATTTTACAAAAATAGGATCAAGAGCTAAGTGTAATTGGTGTGATGTAACATATGCTGCTGATTCACAAATAAATGACACTAGTAATTTGAAACACCATTTGTTGCATCAGTGTAAGAAGTTTCCAAAAGAGTCTCTTGATCTCACTCAACAGACACTTGTTCTTCAACAATTGAAAAAAGAAGATGGGAATGGATCTGGTAGTGTTCTCACTGGTGTTCATTTTGATGCTGAGGCATGTAGGAAAGCTTTAGCTAGGATGATTATTGTTGATGAGTTGCCTTTTAAGTTTGTTGAGGGAAAGGGGTTTCTTCATTTTATGAGTGTTGTGCAACATAAACTCTCAATTCCTAAAAGGATTACAATTGCTAGAGATTGTTGGGATTTATACACGAGTGAGAAACATAAGTTAAAAAGTGTGCTAAATAAATCAAATCAATGTGTTTGTCTTACAACTGATTGTTGGACATCTGTGCAAAATTTGAGTTATCTTTGTCTCACTGCACATTTCATTGATCATGATTGGAAAATCCATAAAAGGATTATGAATTTTTGTCTAATTGTGAATCACAAAGGAGTAACCATCGGCAAAAAAATTGAAAAATGTTTGGAGGAATGGCTAATAGGTAATGTTTTCACCATTACGGTTGATAATGCTAGTTATAACGATGTTGTTATAACTTACTTGAAAAATATAACGAACGATTGGAATTCTCATCCATTGAAAGGAGAACATATGCATGTTTGCTGTTGTGCACATATTCTGAATCTTGTGGTCCAAGATGGACTAGAAGACTATCATTCTTCAATTAGTAAGATTAAGAATGCTGTTAGATATGTTCGTGCATCTCCAGGTCGTATGGATAGGTTTAAAACTTGCATTAAAGAAGTTAGGTTATGTTTACCGTGGAAATTGGTAAACAACCGCTGATCTTCCAAAAGGTTACTTATTTGGTGACTCGCAGGATCGATCAGATTGATCCTAAGACATGGTTGATTTTTGGGGTTTTGACTAAGTTTAATGATGGTTAATGACAAGAAAATAAAGATACTTTATGTAAATTGCATGAAGAAGAGAACTTGGTAGAATAAAATAAAGCTTTGAATAAAGGCTTCGACTGGAAAAGTAAATGAAGAGGCAGTAAAGTTCTGGAAAATAAATGACTTTGATTAATTAAAGTGGTGTTTCACACATACATTCTCAACAATTCTTTCGCTCACACTGGGTACTTGAATCTATATGAGTGACTTGTATATAATTGTGAACACACGCGAAAAACTACGTGAACAACTAATATTTATACTAAACACATCTCAAGTAACCGTCGGGCAGTTACGCTGCTTCGAGATGACTCCACTTGGCACGCTCACAGCATTCGACGCTCCAGATCTTGGCACGTTGCACTTGGTAACCGCTGGGAACCGTTTTCCCTCCAAACATTTGAATCTCAAAACCGTTCCACTCTGAGTGTCGAACACCTTTGTCGAGAAGCACCTTCGACGTCGAAGGCAACGAGATTCTTACTTAGAAGAAATTCTCTAAGTACCTTGCCATCTTCTGATGAGCATTTCGACAGAATCAGCTGGTCGAAGCCGTCCCTCATGATTAATGGTTTATATTAATAAAAACAAGGGTGTCGAGTTTAGGAGCCAACAAATTGCCCCCCAAGAATGCCTTATTTCGACGCTGAAAAGAAAAAGGCATTCTTTGAGATTCCACTCGACACCTGTCCTTCATTCTTAGCCACAGATTAACCTGTGTGCTTTTTGTCTTCTACCAACCAACTGACAATCCCAAGAAAAAGCCATCATTCCATCTGTACCTAAGACGTCACCTCAGTAAGGCGTTTAGCGTGCCCAATGTCTTTTCACAAATTGTCATCATGACAATTTCCCAAAAACGAGGGCGCACGCTGCACCTTTTCGTTTCTGCAGAACGGCTATGTCAGCGAAGGAGCGCTACATGGTAAAAGTTCTTCTGCCTGGACTGAGGTAGCTGAGACGACTTCTCGAATTGCAGAGTTGTCGAAACAGAAAGCATCCAAGCAAGAAGAAATTGACGCCATAGATCGAGACAATGCCTCCATAAAGGCGCAAATCGAAGAGCTGGAGGCCAAGATAAACGCTAATACCAAACGCAAGGAGGAGCTTCTCTCGACTGTTTCAGACACAGAGAGCCAAGCTGAAATTACACGAGGCCTAGAGTTTGCTGAGAAAGCCCAAGCCTTCGATGACCAAATTGCCAAGCTTTCCCAGGCGAATGCCTTGTGCAACAAAAGACTGGAGCTGCAGCAGGCCAAGTACCTTCGACTTAGAGATTCTATCCCCTTCTAATTTACTCAGCCATTTATTAACCATGTATTGTAACATTTATTTGACAATGTAACCATTTTGGCTAATTCTTATAAAATTTTCCATTTTGGCTATTTATGGTTAATTTGATCATTACTTGCTATTTATTTTGATCTCTTGGAGCATAGGTTTATACTTTTTCAAATATTTGCCGTTTACTCTCAAGAGTCTTTTATCTTCACCTAACTCTTTGACTTTATAAGCTCCACCAGAAAAAGTTTGGATAATTCTGAATGGTCCTTCCCATTTGGGTGACCATTTTCCCATGCTTCGATCCATGGGGAGAATCACCTTCCAAACTAATTCTCCAGGCGAGAATGCCTTAGGTTTCACTTTTTTATTGTAAGAGTCTTCTACTCTTTTCTTCTGAATCCTTAGTAGGTCGAGAGCGCGTAGTCTTTCTTCGTCTAAATCTACTAGTTCGTCTAACATCATATCCCAATAAACTTCAGAGGGGATATCATGATGTCTCTGAACCCTTGCAGATTGAAGACAAATTTCCGCTGGCAACACTGCGTCATGACCAAAGGTTAGCTGATATGGTGTCGTACCTATGGCTTCTTTTGGGGACGTTCGACAGGCCCACAAGATCCGGTCTAACGTCTTATGCCAATTTTTTGGCTTCTTCCCTACATGCTTTTTTATCAAGCCAATCACTATTTTATTCGCTGCTTCAACTTGACCGTTTGCCTGTGCATAATAAGGCGTTGACGTTAGGAGTCTAAAGCCTATTTCTTGAGCGAATTCCTGCATCTTTCGACCAGTGAAAACTGATCCTTGATCAGTAGTTATAGTTTCAGGGATCCCAAATCTAAAGATAATGTTCTTTTGAATAAATTCAATGACATTTTCTTGGTCTACATTGACTAAAGGAATAGCTTCGATCCACTTAGTGAAATAATCAATGCCTACCAATATATACTTCTGGCTCTTTGATGATGCTGGTCGAATCTCTCCAATAAGGTCCAACGCCCATCCTCTAAAGGGTCAAGGTTTCACTATTGAGTGAAGTTCGCTTGCTGGTACATGCTGGATGCCTGTATGGACTTGACATTCCTGGCATCCCTTCGCGAACTCGACACAATCTTTCAAGATTGTGGGCCAGTATAATCCTTGTCGAAACAACAACCATTTCATCTTATGGCCTACTTGGTGAGCCCCACATGCTCCAGCGTGCGTAGTCGAAAGGGCTATGTATGCTTCAGTTTCACTTAAACACTTTAGCAATACCCCTTCAGGCGTCTTTTTAAATAACTCATTACCCATGAGTACGTAACTCAACGCCCTATATTTTATTTTTCGTTCTGTCGAAGCTACTGGATTTTGTAGATAATCCACAATGGGTTTCCTCCAATCTTGCTCTGACAAATTGTCTATGAACGAAATTTCGAAGTTCCTTTGATCAGCATACCCTAGTCTTGTCGATTTCAAATCTGTTGGTGACAGACAAGTTGCTTTTATTTTCTCCCGGACTTCGATTGCTCTTTGTAATCTCGTTTTCGAAATTTTGTACCCAGATGCAATTTGTGCCAAATCGTTGGCTATTTGATTTTCCAATCTGGGTATGTGTCGAATGTTGACCATTTCGAATTTTTTCAATAAACGATTTGCTATCACAAAGTACATAATGAGATTTTCTCTTATGCACTTATATTCTTTTGTGACTTGCTTAATGACTAACTCTGAGTCTCCCATTATTTCGACTCGAGTTTCCCCCAATTCCAACAATATCTCAAGGCCAGTAATTAGAGCTTCGTACTCAGCCTCATTGTTCGAACAAGTACCTGATATCTTGTATTTGAATGTTGTTGGAATTTTTTCTGGAGAAATAATCAAGACCCCTACTCCTGTTCCATCTTTATGGCTGGAACCATCGAAGTAGAATTTCCAAGGCTCTATCTCCACATAATTGATACTCTCAACCTGAATTGAGTGGTCGACTATAAAGTCTGCCACCACTTGTCCTTTCACTGCCTTAAGAGGCATAAAGGTCAAGGAGTATTCAGTTAACGCTAGCGCTCACTTGCCAATTCGGCTGTGCAGGATGGGTTTCGACAACATGTACTTGAAAACATCAAAATGAGACGAAACATACACATCTAGGGATGTCAGTTTGGACCTGTTAATGGGGATCCCCGCGGGGAACGCCCCGTTCGGGGCCCCAAAGATGGGGAATTTTCCCCCGTGGGGGCGGGGATGGGGAGAAAAATTCCCCCGAGAGCATTTCGGGGACGGGGACGGGGAATACACCCCCCGCCCCGCGGGGACCCCGCCCCGCGGGGACCCCGCCCCGCCTATTATTTTAATATAGTTAATTTAATATATACTCATGATGCTAAATTTTATAATTATCCCTTATTAGTTTTGATGAAGTATAGTTTTTTAAGCATAATTACGTTGTTGGATTTTTTTAGTTGTTTAGGCATATTGTTACTTTAAAAAGTATTATAGTTCATTTTGTTGAATTTTATAGCATTTTATAGAAATTTATAAAAAAAATATTATTATTTTGTGTTCCATTAGTATTTTTAATAAAAAATAATAAATGTCAAATACTAGTATTTTTTAATAACATAATAAATATGTGAATTCTTTGTGCTTTTTATTTTTATAGAAAATATAAACATTTTAAAAAAATAAAATATTAATGAATAAATGTAGGATCTATGGGGATCCCCGCGGGGAACGGGGATCCGCGGGGAACGGGGATGGGGATAGAAATTCCCCCGTGACGGAGATCGGGGACGGGGACGGGGAATGAATTTGATGACGGGGAAAAAGATGGGGAAGTGTCCCCCCGGCCCCGCCCCACCCCATTGACATCCCTATACACATCAACTGGTTTTATATATTGTTTGAGCTTTGTACAAGAGAAATAAAGACATAGACATAATTTTTCAACTTCACTATATCTAGTTTCTGCATCGTTCAAAACTCTACTAAGATAGTAAATGGGTCTTTCGACTCCATTTTCATCTTCTTGGGCTAACATGCTTCCCAAAGTTTTGTCGGATGCAGCTATGTACAATCTCATACTCCTGTTGCTGCAAGGAGGCACCAAAATAGGTGGCTTTGTGAGATACCCTTTGATTTTGTCGAAGGCTTCTTGTTGCTCTTGCCCCCATTTGAATCTTTCCTTATTCAGTCGAAGTAAGGGTGAAAAGGCTTGAGCTTTCCCACTTAGGTTAGATATGAATCTCCTTAAGAAATTTATCTTGCCTAGCAAAGATTGCAGTTCCTTTTTGTTCGCTGGCGCTTTCGCTTCCAGAATTGCCTTCGTCTTGTTCTGGTTGATTTTGATTCCTTTCTTGTGGACGACGAAGCCCAAGAAATCTCCAGCTTTTACACAGAATGCACACTTCAAAGGGTTCATTTTCAGACCATGTTCTCTCATTCTTTCGAATGATTGTCGAAGGTGGTCTATATGGTTCTTCCTGGAAACAGATTTTACAACAATGTCATCAATATATACTTGCATAAAAGTGTTAATAAAATCATGGAAGATAGAGTTCATCGCTCGCTGATATGTTGCCCCAGCGTTCTTTAGGCCAAAAGGCATCACTACCCATTCGTAAGTGC